GAGAATTTTACAAAGAAAGTGTAACAGAAATTATCCGCCAGCCTAATATTAGGTTGGCACCTAAGCTTTGCAGATAATTCAAAACGTTTCTCATACTTTTATTTTTGGCATAATCGGGTTGGATATCGAAATAAAATTTGTGCCGTTTTAATGTTTGCTTGCGAAATAGAGAAAGATTAGGCTATTTCCGTAAGCTGGCGAAATTCGAGTCGCTGGGTTAAAAGAGAAATGAAGCCGTTTGCACCCTGATTTGAACACATCAAACCGAAGCGCTTAACAATGACTAATACAGTTTTAGCTTTGTTTGTTTGGATCAGGGTACAAATGGCTTCATTTGGTTTTTAGCTCAGAAAACTTTCGAATCTGACTCTAGTCGTAAATTCCTCTCACACATCCCCATTTTTTAGCTTGATATAACCCGCTTTATGCCAGAAAATGAATGTCCGAGTTCAGTTTGAGAAAAGTTGCATAAATAGGGGCAAAACTTGGGTGACTAACTAATGTTTCAAAAAGTCTGAAAACTGGGTTACCGGGATCTGGCACTGAATTGCTCGTTCTTCTTCGCCCAAATTGTCCGTGACTGTTGAATTATGTTTTGTGGTATGTTGTGTTTGTAAATCCTGCAATACTTTGCTGCTTGTTTATGTACATTTTGAAAAGAAGCATAATGCTTAACCGAAGCACCTTAGGATCCATCCTATTCTTGCGTCCAGAGTTTCTGCCAGCGCTGGCAGCTGGAGCGTGATTACTGCAAGGAGATCTGGCGTTGCTCGTCAGTTTCTCATCAGCCACAATCTCATGACCAGTCACAGCCTCAAGTAAACCCTCATAAATGAATGGAACTCTAAGGTTTTCACTCCCTCCAAATCATGTCCAAAACAAGGGTTATACCTCGTGCGTGTCCAAGTCAAGGATAACTTTCTGTGGTGTCATTGGTGATTTCCTCGTCAAGTGTGCTTCTCTATGGCTTTCAACATTACCAAGCTTTGAGGAGTCTGCAGCTATGCCGTCATACATTCTCCGTTTGTGCGTAGCTTCATTAGCATGGCACTCCACTTCTGTGTTCTCTGCTTCGACGCTGCCATGTAGAGTTCGGTCAAGTGATATGTTAAATTCATGAATGTTCTCGATTTCAGGCTGTTCGGTTGCCTCAGAACTCCTAATTGGTTTTTTCGAAAACTGATTGACGATCCCATCCGTGTATGGTTCTTCCTTGACAAGTAACGGGTTGTAGCAGTTGTCTGGATTCGCATAAACGGAATCTAGAGGTTTCACCGGAAGCTCATATTTGTAAGAGGCGTCGGGCACAACCTAAAGTAATGGGCATAAACATAAGCAGAGGAAGAGTGAAGAATATAGGAGACATCTTTAGCGCTGTTAGCGAATCAAATGAAGGCAATTGCTTTTACTTGGAGAAGTTATAAAAATCATTCCGTAAATATTTTTGAAGCTCTCTTATCTTAGGTGCTTTTCCTTATACAATTTCTGTGGTCATAACGAGTATTGCCTGAATCGCTTACTGTGGAAATGTCAATGTTGAAGAAATCATTGTCGTTGTGCTTGCTCAAGACAGGTGTGGATGTAAGAGGGCCTAAAACAATAAAATGTGACATAGGGCCTTGCCATTATGTGAAGCTAAAGGCAAAACGAACCACGATATTCTGTGTTTGTGATAGTTGTTTGAAGATTTTCTCTGCAGTCCATAAACTCCTGTAAGATCGTATATGCATTTTTATAGTTTGCAAAGTGACCGCCAATAACCTCTTCCGACTGAGTTTGTACCACTGATCTGCACGAAATCTCTCCATGGTTTTCAGATATCGCATCATTTTCAACAAAGCTACTCTCTGAGTGCAGTCTCTGAGGAAAAACAACCATAAATCAACTCACTGTGTGCAATAAAGATACACGATGAATCGAACCTTAGCGCCGAGGACGGGAGAATCACTTCCAAACTTTCTGGGCCGACATC